TCTTACTCAACCCTTGCTTCTATCTCCTCTTGAAAAATAAAGAAAAGAAATTTCCATATTCACTCAAAAGTAAAGTATAAACAACCAGATTACCATAAAATTTTATTACAGATACAAAATTTTCATTAAATAAAATCTTGAAAGATGGATTGAAATGTTCAACACTTATTTCATACTGAGATCACCCTTGATGAATGATAGTCAAGAGAAAGAGATAATCAAAGACCTGAATTGGCGATAATGGAAGGGACCTCATGGCGGAAGATCGCGACCCGTTTCTTAGGGGACGGGGTAGAGACCTCTCCGGCGATTGAAACCAGAGATTCCATTGCAGAACTCGCAATTTACAGAAATGGATACAAATTCACTATTTCTAAGGCGGAGGTCTCTGAATTTAGATGGCGGCAATGGAGAGCCTGCAACGAATGCAGCTCAGAGTGATGTTTCCAGATTGCGGATGATTAGGGTTTAGGGGAAAATGGTAGAGATACCGTCACTGGCTTTTTGGGCTCTTGATGTTCGTGAACTAGCCCACATGAAGCCCGGCGGCAGAAAAAGAAAGCCCGGGTCCCACGACAGTAAGGCTAATGCTATAGTTTAAGAGAGTTTTTTTATCAGGTTTAATATTGTTTAATTTTAAATTAATTAAAATTTAATTTAATATCGGAATATAGAGTTAGTACTTAAAATGAAATGGATAAAAAAATTAAAAATTAACCAATGAAGTATATGGTTTTTGTTTTTTTTTTTTTTTTAATTTGGTTGAATAAGTGAAAAAATTTACTCTATATTGAAGTTGAGGAGAATGGACAGAAGGAACATTCTCTTCCATTTCCCTTTCCTTCTTTTCTCTCAAATAATTAAATTAAAAGAAAAAAAAGGATAAAATTTTCTTCTCTCCTTGTTTCCTTTCCAATTTTTTTAAAATAACCAAATAAAGAATTTTTTGCTCTCTCCTCTGTTCTATTATCAGTTAATGGTTAGAGATTAAAGAGTTTGCAAAATAAAAAACTGAATATATAACTAAAAAATAAAATTTTATATTAATAAATAAATAATAGTCATTTGAATATTATAAATAAATATGAAAATCAACTTCTTCAATCTTATTGTTAAGGGTTACCTTATAAAATTTATTATAATTTAAGATTTAAATTTAAAATATATTTAAAAGTCAAAATATAAAATTTTAAATTCATATTTTACTCTTATTTCTCTATTTTTTTTACATTTTCTTAAATTTATTTATTTATATTAGTTAAAAATCTTATTTCACCCACACCAAATGTAATCACTTTTCTTTCACCCGTATTGATGCATTACAACTTTTTCCTCATTTGTCCATCGTTTTTACATTTCTTATATCTATATATCCCCTAAAAGTCATATCCTACTCATGCCAGATATAATTACTTTTGGTTAAAACTAAAACCAAATTTATAGTAATCGAACCTATGGATAACATCTATTTTTTATTTGGCTTCGATTTAAATTTTTAAAACCAAAACATTTTGGTTAGTCAAATATTAGTTTTTTTTTTTTTTTTTGAGAATCATGATTTTGTATTGAATCAAATAAATAAAGCACATACAATATAACTTAACCTCACAGTCTATAATTTTCATATATTACAACAAACATGTCCTTTAAGGTATGAAGTTATTAGAGTATGCACTACAAGCCAACTAAATTGGCCAGACAATTTTATTTACTTATGATTATGCTTATTACATTTGTGGCATTTTTTATCAAACATTAATTATTATTGTTTTCAAAATTATCAAACATTAATTATTATTGTTTTCAAAAGTGAGGGAAAAGTAAAGTAATGGTTAAAAAGAGGAGAAATAAGTGATTATATCATATATAATCACTTATTTACTCTCTATAATAAATTATATTTCTAATGCAATCGGTTACCAAACTATTATAATTAATTATATTGCCTCTCAATTTTTATGCTAAGAAATTTAGTTTCTTAAGCCAAACCAAGCTATTTAGTTGTGTGCACTCCTAGAAAAATGAGCATTTCAGTCAAACTTTTTTGATCAAGCAAGATGACTCCATGAAAAAACAGTTATTTTGGTCAAAATTTTTGACCAAATAGTTGGTTAGTCTAGTTAACTGGTTTAGGATTTATTTATTCGAGTTAATATTTATTCAATCAAAATTTTGTCTAAAATAACTGCATGGGAATTGCCGCCAAGCTATTTTGGTCAAATTTTTTACCAAACAACAAGAATAATAAAAATAATATTTTTTTTCAATCAATTTTACTAAATAAACTAGTTTTTAACTTTTGCCCATGCGTTGTGCAGGTTATTTTTTAGTTTTTTATATTAGAGTTTAAATTT